GTGTGTGTGTGTGTGTGTGTGTGTGTGTGTGTGTGTGTGTGTGTAAAATCACCAGATGTTATTGCATGTGATGTCCACGGCACCACCATGCAGGAGTTATAATTGCTCCCACTTTGCAGAAGAGGGAATGGATGCTCAGTGGGGTGAAACAGTTGGTCCCAAGGTCACATCCCTAACAACAGTGGAGCTCAGTTTCCGACCCAGCCTGCTAACCCCAAAGTCACAGTCTTCCCATTACTCCATGCAAATTACCACAGAAAGAGTTTAACAGAAGAAAAGCATATGACGTGCTTGGTTTATTTTTACTGATGCAAACATCAGCTACCAGCTGCCTCGAGTTGCCGTGGACCTGACTTACTTCAAGGAGGAGTCCCCGACACCAATGCAGCCTCGCAAGCTGAGCTTCCTCAGGAATCCACCACATCGCTTTGAGATGTTCTCCACCACGCGACCCTTGAATCGAGAAGTTGGAAAAAAATATCATGTTTTCATGCTGCTTATCTAACAGCAAAACAACCTGAAATTTAGAAATTGAATATATTTTTCCAGGTGAAGTAGAAGATATTCTGGAACGTTCTTCCAGCACCTCAATTCTATCTCTAGCATATAAAGAGGCTTCAAGTTTTTAAAAATATTTTCAACTAAAGCATTAAATATTCCAAAAAAACAAAAACACAGCGACAACAAAAAAACCTAGAACTAAAAGCAAAATCCACTGCCATCGAGTCAATTCTGACTCATAGCGACCCTTTAGGACAGAGGAGAACTGCCCCATAGGGTTTCCAAGGAGCGGCTGGTGGATTCAAACAGCTGACCTTTTCGTTGGCAGCCATAGCTCTCAACCACCGTGCCACCAGGGCTCCTTAAAACTAAAACAAAACAAAACAGAAACCCCCGTGCATTGCATTTTGAAAGCTTAGCCCTGGGGGTTAGGCCTCCCCTGCACAGGACTCCCAGCTACTGGTCACCAACTATGAGGCTCAGCTTTGGGAACACAGGCTGCTGACAGAGACCTAAAACAATGCTGCTTAGAAAAGCAATTCTACGTGAGCTAAACATCACCACTCTTAGAGGATAAAAAGTATTGCAAAAGCCTTCCCTCTCTCGGCAGTCCTCGACTTAAACACAGTTTCTTTGAAAAAGGAGCCTCTGCTGGGCGCTGGCAGGGAAAATAAAGGAGGAAAAAGGAAAATAAACACAGATAAAGCAATTTCATTTTTCAAGGCACAATTTTAACACTTTCTGGTACCTATTACTGCTCATTCAATATTCATGATAACCTCACAAGATTATATTATCTTCACTTTGCAAATAAGGAAATTAAATAGTTAAATTGCCCAAGATTGCACTTTTGTGCAGAGCTACGGTTTTAACAGGATTATCTGATTTCAAAGACTTCTCTGCAAGGGAGGAGGGCGTTTAAAAGGGTGGCTTTGTTTAATTTTGTTTTTAATACTATTATCTTCACTTCAAAAAGAGCAATCTCGCACTGAACTGTGAGCACTAAGAATTCACCTGTTGTTGCTGTTAGGTGCCATTGAGTTGCTTCTGACTCATGGCCACCCTACCGGACAGAGCAGAAAACTCCCCCGCCCCACCCCTCCCCGGGTTTCCAAGGAGCGGCTAGTGGATTTGAACAGCCAACCTTTTGGTTAGCAGTCAAGCTCTTAACCACTGTGCCACCTAGAGTTCACTAGGGCACATCAAACCACAGGATCACCAGAGTGCGCGAACAAGTATTTGTCATCTAGCTAACATCTTAATTCAGCTGAAAAGCCAAACCTTGATATCGCTAGCGACATGTCTTTGTATTTTCTTTAGTACTACGTAATAAACACTTTTGGAGACAAAATCTTAGACAACTGTAATATAACTCTTTGTCTTCAGAAAAGAAAAACACAGACTGACTTGGAAATCCGGGGTAAATATAGTGAAGTGCCTAATGGAACAGCAAACCTCCAAACCAGTGTCTACAAACGGAGCACACAGTCAGTCACATTCGTTTAAACTTACTCCATTCCTTCTTTCCAGCAGACATTCTTGTACTAAAATAAAAAAAATCACATACACAATTTTCTGCTCTGCTGATTCCAACTAAGAAAAAAAAAAAATGAACACACCCTTTCAATACAGCGAAACCTCTGAGAGCCGGCACTCGACGGGACCGCCTTGTTTTTCCAGGTCTAGTTTTCCACCTTTGACAGGGTGCAGTCTTAACACTTTTCTGTCGCTATTAATGCAGAACATCTGAGTTTTCCTTCTCTGACAGGTTTCCGCCTTACACGCATTCTGGCTTTCGCAGGTTTACTGTATAATATTAAAGTTAATGGCTCCGTATCTTATTTACTAGGCGGCATGATGTAGGTGTACATTTTAGAATGAAGGGCTTTAGAGAAAGGAAAGGTCTCAGGTGGGCTTAAAGGCCCTTTTAAATTAACATACCAAAACATTCCCAGTAGATCTTCTGGATTAATAAATACTTGTCAAGAGCCGCCTAAGGCGAAAGCACTATTAACGGTGCAGGGGTAAGGATTTAAAAAGCCGAGTGACAGAACTCAGATGAAGAACAAGAACCGGGGAAAACGTACTGACACAGAGCAAGCCGAAGTCTGGTCTGTAAGTAGGTGAGTATCCTTCCAGTTTTTCTCTCTGTTCCATCTTGGCACTTGATTATTATATCAAAATGAAGCAAAACAAAAAGGCAGGAAATGGGAACACTTATCTTTTTTTAAAAGCCCTTTTGTCTAAAACAGTGTTAACTTACCTCTACATCTGTTTGAAAGTTAAAAAGGTCTATTCTTTGCCAGTTGCTTCCATCCAGGGCTAAGATGTTCCAAGCCTGAGAGGTGGGAGTAAAGGAGGATGGATTGGGGTGAGAGAGAGACACTGACTGAAGCTGATACAAGAATAAAAATGTAAAATTATGATAACATTGTGTTATATTAAACATAACATAATAAAATTTTAATTTTTAACCGTTTACTTGAACCAAAAACTCATCCTCATTCTAATAAAATATTAGTTTTATTGATTAAAAATACGGCTAATACTCTACCTTGGAAATCTGTGCACATCGGCACAAAGTTACTATATCCAAGAAGGAAAATATTCTAAAAAGGGAAAAAACACAAAAATGAAACGGTGTTAACATTTTAGGATATTCCTAACTTGAAAGACGAAATCTAGTGTGCCGTCTGGATATATGGTAAATTTTTTCACGATTCCTCAATCTGCAATACCCAAGCACACGATAACGTCACATCACCACTGTGGAAATATTGAATGTTCACATGTTCAGCAGCTGTTTCAGACACAATACACAAATCCTTTTAAAACAGAACTCATGAAGCTTTTATTTCCTTCGTTCTAAGGAACCGACATAGGACACTAGACCATAAATAGTTCTAGTCAAAGACCAGCTCTATAATCTCCCAGGCTTGGGGCCGGGTGCTTGCTAAATCCTTTGAGCTCTCAGACTCCTAACACACGCCACAAACCCTTCTTTTGGTGGTAGACACACCAAACAGGCTCATATGTCTGAGCCACAAATAACATGGCCACGAAAAGCTCAATGGTCAAACCGATTCAGACTGATGCATTTGTTCACTGGACAGAAGGACAGAGCTCATTGGCTGACAAGGTCTATCAGTGAACAGTTTTTCCTGAGCAAAATCTAGGAATCCATGGAAGATGGGAGAGACGGGGGGAAAGAAAAGCAGAGAAAAGCAAACAAAAACGTAGTTGACATCAGTTATTCCCACAGAGGCCGTAGCAGCGGCCAGCGCAGCAGGCATCCAAGCGGGATCCAAATATTCTGGCAGTGGAGCAGAGGGGCTGCTGATGGCATGATGGGCAGAGGGCTGTGTGAGCCTCCGCACTGTGGGATAGCAGCTGAAAACAAGGAGCAGCTTTTCTTTGAGAAGAAGGGTGGATGGGGTTGAGGTCGGGAATAATAACAGCATCTCAATTCTGGTAATCATGGAAGGTAGACGAGAAGTCTATGCTTGTGTGCGTGTGGAAGGGTAGGGGTGCCATGACAGACAGCCACCTATACAGTTCCTCAGAAATTTTCAAAGGTCGCATTCAGTGGGAGTTAAAAGTGCCTAGGCTTGGGGAAGGTTAGTAGAACCATAAAACAGCAGAGTACTATAAAACCTACAATAATACACCCACAAGCAGTACCACAGAGCTAGGAATAGCGTAGACTCCATTCTACAATATGGGCTCCAATCATTTTCTAGTGAAAAGCAAAGGACAGGGGCATAATAAGGGCTCCACTGACCTTAAAAGACTTAGCAGATCTTGTACTTAGGAAAATGAAGCTGGCTGAAATCTGTATATTTAAGTATACGTATTCAACGTATTACAACGTATTCTACACTCCTATACTGCCTCTATGGGAATGTATCCTCCCCCGCCACAGGCCCTCCTGCTCCAAATGGCCATCTCCTGGGTTATATGACCATTCCTCAACCAGCCACAATGAGTCTCAGATCTCTGAAAAAGAAACCAGCCTGATACAGTAGAATCACGTTACATGCTGTGGTTCGGTTCTGACATACAAGCTGAAGGGAGAAAAGGAATTAGCCAAATTCTCTTCCAATATGTCTTGGGATTGTACCAAACTGGAGAACCACATATTCTACCACCTCTCAGTAATAACATACTGATAACAATAGTTGACACTGATTAGATACTATGTGCCAGCCACTATTTATGTTAGTGATTTATTTCTCACAACAGCCCTATGAGATGTGTGCTGTTATTATCTCTATTTTAAAGATAAGGACACTGAACACAGAGAGGTTAAGTAACCTGCACAGGTCCCACAGGTAGTATGGGTGGAGCTGGGACTTGAACCCAAGTAGTGTGGCTCAAGAACCAAAGCCCATCACCACTACACATACCACCTTGAAAAGCTGACCAGGGCTTCTTCCTCGGGATTGGGCTACACGCTATTGCTCTGACTATAACACCAGATAGAGTAGTTTGCATTTATGGATGGAAAACACTTATCTTTAAATGCTAGAATCACATTTAGTGAATCAAGATGCTAATACCCAGAGACACATGCAGGAACCAACAGGGAGAACAAAAGCTCACGTTTTTCTTCTCCTGCTTACTATCCATTTTACAATTACTGAATGAAGAAGCCAATTGCTCGCAGTGTTTACATTATTTTCTCTCTACTTCCTGCACCCTCCCTTTAACTGAGCACCTGTAGTTGAATTTGCACAAGTTAAACAGGAGTGATGGGACTCCAAATTGCCAAACGGCAGTCATGTTTCAGTGAATAAAACTAACGGCCTCAAGGGATGACAAAGTCTGGAATATAGGCAATAGAAACAAAGATAGCTAGAGGAGTTACAGAAGTGGGAAGCTGAATTCTGGCCCCTCTAAAACATTTCGTCCGGGAAACTGCTCCTATTTCAAATGTGATAAGCCTATCCTTCATGAGGTAAGCACGGCCGTGGCACCCTAGTTATAAATATATGCAGGGGTGTGTAAGGATGCATATACTTCTGGACTTTGCATTGTTTCATTGGTCAGTCTGTCTGTCCTTGTGCCGATAAGACCTTGTTTTAATTATGAACCTTTACTGTCTCCATTTCTAGTCCTTCAACTTTGTTCATCTCCTTCAAGATTGTCTTGGTTATTCTTAGCTATTCTTGGTTCTTTGAATTGTCACTTGAATTTTAGAATAAGCGTATCAATTTCCACAAGAAAACTTTCCAGAATTTTTACTGAAATTGTATTGTATTTAAAGATCATTTGGGGAGAACTGAAATCTTTACATTAAATCTTCCAACCCACAAACATGATGTTATTATTATAAAAAATTAATTTTTTCTCTCATAGGTCATGCTTTTGATATTGTATCCAAAAACTTATTACCAACACGAGGTTACTTAGATTTTCTCCTATGTTATCTTCTAGAAGTGTTATAGTTTTGTGTTTTATATTCAGCGCTATGATCTATTATGACAATTTTTGTAACAGGTGTAAAGTCTGTCTAGGTTCTTTTGCAGGGGAGGGCATATGGATTGTTCCAGCACCATTTGTTGAAAAGACTATCCTGTCTCCATTGAATTGACTTTCCTCTTTTGTCAAGGATCAATTAACTATATTTGTATGGGTCTATGTCTGGACTCTCTATTCCAGTCCACTATGTCTATTCTTTCACTAATACCACACTGTCTTGATCACTGTTGCTTTATAGTAAGTCTTGAAGCCGGGTAGTGTCAGTCCTCCAGCTCTGTTTTGGGGTGCAATGAACTGCTTAATATGGCCCCTCTGCCACAGTCTGTGACTCACACACAATGACTGACTGGGACCATAGTAATAAGGTATATGGAACCATAACGAGAGGAGCAGTCAGTTTTGCCATCCTGCCAGCTTAAAATGAGCCACCCCAGAGGCAGGAAGGGAGGATCTCACCACCACCAAGGAAGAAGAGCCAGGAGCAGAGCATGTCCTTTGTCCTTTGGACCTGGGACTTCTTCACTGAAATGCTTCTGGGACCAGGTGACCGAGAGAGAGAGCTATTAATACTGAAGACAGCAAGAAGTGGTGGCAGAGACACGGCAGCAGGAGACAGCAGGGTGGGCTTCCTGACCCACAGAGCAAGAAAGCTGAGTGCCTTTGGGCAGGAGCCTTGCTGGAGGGGTAGGGTGCCTCTGAGCACTTGGTGTAGCTAGTTTGCTGATGCACAGAGCTAGAGCTGATCGCCTTCAGGCCAAGGCTTACTGGCAGAGCGGGGTACTCTGGGCACTTCTTGGCAGAGCTAAAAGAGCTTTTAAACACTTGCCCGCGCAGGGCAGGGGCCGAAGGCCAAAGAGAGGCATGCCTGTGGGCACGGCTGAAAAGAGGCTGTTCTGATGGAAGAACTGCATCCTGAGCTTTCCTGAATCTGAACTATAACCTGTTACTTCTCCAGTAAACCCTTTAACTGTGAGTATGGTCTGTGACTTCTGTGTGGCCACTGCAATGAATTATCAAACTCAGCAGAGGAGTAGAGCGTGCCATGGGAGGGACAGTTGGTGTCAGAATCGGTAAAGACGGCAGAGAGAGGAGGCTTGTCTGACTTTGGCCTCATAGGAATCAGCCTTGGGTTGTTGATCTTGATTCTCCTTCCTCCTCGTGAAGTCAGAGGAGATCAGACGCCCCTGCCATGCCATTTTTACAGTTCTTCTTCAGTATTGCGTTGGTTATTTTGAGACTTCTGCCCTTCCATATAAGCTTTAGAATCAGTTTATTGATAGGTACAAAATAACTTACTTTGATTGTGATTGTGCTGACTCTATAGATCAAATTGGGAAGAAATGACATCTTAACAATACTGAGCCTTCCTATTCATGAATATGTAATGTTTCTCCATTTATTTAGATCTCCTTTGATTTCTTTCATCAGAGGTTGTAGTTTCCTGCATATAGATCCTGCATATATTTTGTTAGATTTATAAATAAGTATTTCATTTTCAGGGGATGCTAATGTAACTGGTCAATGTTCAAGCATCTCAGGAAGTAGCATATCATCAAAAACTGAAGGTACTGAAGGAAGAAGTCCAAGCTGCACTGAAGGCATTGGTGAGATACAAGGCTCCAGGAATTGATGGAATACCAATTGAGATGTTTCAATAAACGGATGCAATGCTGGAAGTGCTCACTCATTATGCAAGAAGTTTGGAAGACAGCTACCTGGCCAACCAATTGGAAGAGATTCATATTTGTGCCCATTCTAAAGAAAGGTGATCCAAAAGAATGTGGAAACTATTGAACCATATCATTAATATCGCATGCAAGTAAAATTTGGTTGAGAATAATTCAAAAATGGTTGCAGCAGCACATTTACAGGGAACTGCCAGAAATTCAAGCTGGATTCAGACAAGCATGTGGAAAGAGGAATATTACTGCTGATGTCAGATGGATCTTGGCTAAAAACAGAGAATACCAGAAAGATGTTTTACTGTGTTTTATTGACTATGCAAAGTCATTCAATTGTGTGGATCATAACAAATTATACATAACATTGTGAAAAATGGGAGCTCCAGCACACTTAATTGTGCTCATGAGGAACCTGTACATAGATCAAGAGAAGTCATTTGAACAGA